ATCTCCCCAGGATCTGCCCAGCAATGAGCAATGATAGGGTGTGGGGATCTCTAGATCATAAGGGTGATAGATTCACAGGACGTGCAGTGGTCTGTTTCTTTAGTTAGCTTGAGAAGAGACCCTGGATACGGTCTTAGAGTACTAGATAACCCCGAGACTTAGAGAAAAACTTTCTAACCTGTAAGAATCAGTCTTGATTCTGGCCCCAGACACCAAGCGTTAATAGCTCTCCATCCTCAGGCCCTTGTTGATGCCTTCCTGGTACCCTACTTGCCTATCAGAGGCTGCCCTCTCCCTTTTTCCCCTCTGGTTCTAAGCCCATCATCCTGAGGCCAGCTGCAGTCCACCACACTTCCCAGAACCTACCTGTGGAGCTGGCTGGACGGCAGAATCAGGAAGCTGGGTAGTGCTGCTGCAGAGAGAGAAGCAAGAGCGCAGGGCTCTGGAAGGTGGCAGGAACGAGTCCCAGCTCCCTGATAAAGGTTCTGGGAGGGTTTGGGGGAGCTGAGGGGAGGGGCTGAGAGTCACCAATCCCAGGGTGGCTGGAGGGGAGGAGGAAGGCTGGTAGGGGAGAGGATGCGAGCTGCTGTCACATACCCAGACACGCAGGCGCATGCACACACACACACACACACACACACACACACACACGCACACACTTGTCCGGCAGCCCACTTTCCAAAGGCACCCAAGGCAGGTACTCTAAGGAATGCCATTGTATGTGACCTCTCACAGGACTGCATGCCAGATCGAGCTCAGTAGGTGTGTCTCCTGGACCTTTTTCTCAGAACTCGCCAGCTCCTCTTTATCCTCCGAGCTGGACTACAGCCTGGAACAGCTCGGACAGGTGTCTCTCTGCCCCCATCACGGCAGCTGGGGCTGAGGCCCCACTCCAAGACTGGGGGTGAATCCTTCTGCCCGCCTCCCGGTCCTTACCCCAAGGGAGAAGCAGGGCTGCTGGACTGCCCCTTTGCCTTCCTGACTGCACCGGCTGCCTCTTGCTTCCTTCCATCCTTCCTGCTGCAGCCCTGTTCATCTGCTCATCCCCTCCTCACCTGACTTGGCTTGCAGCGCTGCTCACCTCCTAACTGCCTCCTTTTTACCTCAAAGCTCAGACATCTTCTCTGACCCTTCCAGCCCTTGTTGACATCCCACACAGATGGGGGGCTTTTCTGTGGTTTCTTAGCCCAGGACAGAGTCAGGGGAGGAGAGCAAGGGTCGGAATTAGAACTCAGAGAGGACCAGAAATGCACAGCGAAAGTGGCAGTTGGGACCTGGCCACAGGGTGTGGAGCTTAAATATGCCATGGGATTGAGTTTCCTCACCTCCACAATAGAAACGAGAAATATTCCCATTTTTCTGATTAGGAAACTGAGTTCGGTGACTTGATCTAGCATATACAACAATCTGGCTCTTCTTACTCCAAATCTCTCTATTGTTTGTTTGATATAGGGTTCCTCTGTGTAATAGCTCTGACTGTCCTGGAATTTGTTTTGTAGATCAGGCTGGCTTTGAACACACAGAGACCCGCCTGCCTCTTCCTCCTGAGTGCTGGGATTAAAGGTGTGCACACCACCGCCTGGCTAAGTCTTCCATTCTTTTCACTGCATTGGCATGTTGACCTTTGAGGGAAACCACTTGCTCTTCAGAGGACACAGAGGGACATCTTTCTGAGTCTCAGAGATTTGGGGACTTGAACCCTTTTACATTCTGGGATGAGAAGAGAGTTAGTTGTGTGTACCCCTCTTCCACAGACTCCTCCAGTCACCCTACTTAAGATTGCTCCCACTGTATCCCTCCACCCCCTTCCTCCAGCACTTAGACCCAACATGCTGAGAGTTTATTTCTTCTGTCAAATACACCAGCCCTACTAAGCATCTCAAGAGTTTGTCTGTTATTGTATCCCTCACCCTACAGTATTTGGCACATCACAGATGCTCAATAAAAATTTATGGAATTTTTGAAGCCAGAGCCAAGTTTTTTTGTTTAGTTGGTTGTTTTGTTTTTTTGTAAATTTCTACCACCAAATATGAACAGTTCTAGCACTAACAGGGTCCTGAAGTCCTTTGTCCCCATTCCACACGCCCTGGGACTTGGGGCATATTGATAGACGGTCACCCTGGCCCCGTGTTCACCCCAGAATGTGGGTAGCAGCTGGGCATCAAGGTCTCTTTACGATAGGAGAGGCTAATGGGGCCTCATTAAAAGTTTCTCATTACCCAGTTAATTGCAAGACTGTGTATGCAAAGAACATGGGCCAGCACCCAGAGCTGCGACCATTTGGTGGGATGAGGGACGGAAGTGGGAGGCATTTACATGCAAATGGCATAACATGTTCATTCCTCCAAGAAGCTCAGGGATTACTTCCAATTGGACCTAACCTAGATGGCTCCCTCTTCCTCCTCTCCAATCTGCAACATCCTAGAGACAGAAGACCAAGCTGGGCAGACCAAGGGAGTTGGCTGTGCAGGAGCAGGTGAGTTCAAAAGCTGAGGACCAAATGTCTGATGGCCCCAGTTCTGTCAGCCCCTCCCCAAGCCCTGACATCAGGGGAGCAGAGCTTCAGCAAAGGTCCCACCATGAATAATGTCCTTTGATGATGCTGTATCTCACAGAGGATGGCAGGAGTCGAGGCTGGGAGGGAGCTGATCACCCTTGATCTCTGAGATTAGCAAAGACTTGAAAGGGTGGATGCTGACCCGAGTTAGAGAGGTGATGTAGGAGGGAGGCATTAGGAGCTGGAATGGGCAGCTTCGTTTGCCCACAAATCGTATGCAAATAACATGTATAGTGTCTGTTTCTGCGATGGGGCTGCTATTAAGCTATACAGTTTTTTGTTCTTTCTTTGTACATTTATTTGAGGCACATCTCAGATGCTGTCTCCATAGAGAAGAGAGTCATAAAGTCCAGGTCTGTAGCAGCAGGTACCCCCAATCCTGACCCCATTAGACCCCACTATATGCACGTGTGCGTGTATGCTCAGTGGTACAGAGGTGAGACAAGTTAGATGGCCGTTCTCCAGGGGCACATGCTTGTGTGCACAAGAAAACGTGTGCGTGTCCACCATGTACTCAACTGTGGACTCCCTGGGTGAGGGTGGAGTTGGGCCCTGTGTGGCACTAGACAGAGAGGGATGACAGTTCTGTCAGTCAGTACCTGCAGCAAGAAATAGGAAGAGGCCCTGAGGACAGGGAAGAGACGTGCCTGAGCCTGGGCTGTGTCTGAACTGGATTTAGCCCTGAGGCCCTTGAATAGCTCCTCAGTGGGGGGCGTCACGGTGGTCCAGGATAGCCTGTGGCCCTTAGAGGTTGAAGCAGCCTACACTTTGAGAGTTACTGAATGTGCTGGAGCAGGACAGATGGCAGAACTGATTCTCACAGTGAAAAAAGTCACTTCCAGTCCTTTTCCATGTGTGGGAAATCCATAGGTAGGAAAATGGAGGCCTATAGACATCAGGACCCTGGGCTCCAGGAGAAAGGAAAGGCAAAGACAGCAGAGAGGAGGCAGGGGAAGATGGGGGCGGGGTGAGCCCCACCCATCCTTCAACTAGTATCCATCAACACGGTGGAAGAGTGACGGCCCAAGACCCATTTAGCCCTCCCCATCCCTGCCCCCACCCAGAGAGCTGGCAGCTCCCTTAGCCCTGGGAGAAGAAAAGCAGGATTGGGAGCAGCAGCTGCATTTTCTCCTGAAATTGCTTCTGAAAATGACCAGACACTTCACTGGGAAAGTGACGACAATTTGGGCCCTGGGAGCAGGAGATGAGGCGGAGAGCGAGCGGGGGCGACCAGGCTCAGGTCACCACCCGCTCCCCTCCCCGCCAGCCAGGATCTTCTGATTCTGAGAAGTCAAGGTTGGAGCTGTCATCTGGGGAGTGGGAGGCCAGCGGCTGGCCAGAGCCTGAGCCTGGGCCACCCGTCCTCCAGCCCCAGCCCCGACAGGACAGGCTCTAGCTCCGGTCTGAGAGAGAGAGAGAGAGAGAGAGAGAGAGAGAGAGAGAGAGAGAGAGAGAGAGAGAGATTAATCTGCAGGCAGGAAGGATAGTTAATCAGGTCTCCCTGCCAACATGATTACTTGGGCCCGTGAGCTGCCTACCGATGGAAGCTGTAAGGGACCCAGGCTCAGAGCTCAGTGGAGGAGGCAGGGAGGGTGGAGATGGTGAGAGGAGGAAGAGACAAGGAGAGACGGGAACAATGGCAGCCCTTCCTAATCTCTCCCTGGGTACAGATCCAAATTTCACAGCTATGAGCAGCATGTTCCCCAAAGATAGAACAGGGTAGAGACAAGACCGTCTCTGAGGAAGGAAGGATGAAGAACAGTGGGAAATTTCTAAAAGATATTACAAAGTAACACCGTCAAAGCCCACACAAACCAAAACAGTGAGAGGGCACGGCACGGCCCCGAGACTGGGAAAATAATCACGGTGAAGCAAAGAGGGAAAGGGTTCGTCCTAGGGATGAGCAGGTCTGACCAGTGAGTCTGCCCTGCCGAGGGCTGCCAGCTGTGGGAGAGTGCCTGGCAGCAGCTTGGCATCTCAGAGGCGTGGAGAGGAAGAGGGCTCCTGGGAGGCACATGTGATCCAGCCCATCTCTGGGGTAGAGGGTGATGGAGATCCTGGGGGCAGGGTCCCACCATACCCCAGTTCGCCTCAGCTTGCATGAACCCTGCAGCCTTAGCTTCTTTTTCCGTCTCTAAGGCAGGCATCTTTACGTCTTCCCTCCAGGGACACACTTAATGAATCAGCTCACTGGCCACCTGCGACCTGAGCCCTATCGGGGACTCCTCCCCAGTCTCTCTAAACTCTGCCGGAGCTCAGCCGGTCAAGGAGGCTGGAGACAATTCCCCCTCTTTTCTTTATTGTCTGTACTATCTGAGCCTAAGGGACACATGGCATGGGGGAATGGAGGTGGAGGGTCCAAGTTTGACGGGGTAAAAAAATCAAAGAGTCAAGCAAATGATAGCAAGGAGGGACGCAAACATGGACCCGCCAACACTGCCAAGACCTTTCTGAACTGCGTGATTTATTAGTGGGCAAACGGACTGACGCTGGGAGGATGATACGTTTGGGAAAGGATTCTGGAAAGGTCCAGGAGCAGAAAGGCCGTCTTCAAGGGTTCTTCAGCTCTAAGCCCCTTCTCACGATCAGAAGAGCTAGACCCAAGTTTTGGTCCGGAGGAAGAAGCTGTGTCTCCAGGAGGCCCCAACCTAATCACCTCACAGTCACCTCCATGGAATGACTTCCCTTCTTCTTGAAAGTCAGCTTGCTGTTCCCAGCCCCCTGGGGACCCTGGATAACCTTGACAGCCACACTGCTGTCCTTGAACTTCACTGAGAACCTGGAGGGAGAAGACACAGAGAAAATGAAGCTGGGGCCTCCGAGCTCTCAGCCCGACTCTTCTAGATGGCCTCCTCTCCCTGGAGCCAACACAGCTCACCACCACCCACCCGATGACTCAAGACCTGAGAGAGACTTGGTGCAGAGAGTCCAGGGGTGAGGGGAGGGAGGTGTGGAGAACACTAAGGAAAACCTCCGAGCCTTGCCCTGACACAGTCCGCTTTGGTTTCTCATTACACAAATTTCCCGGTCACAATGACCAGTAGTCCGGTCATCGGTCCCAAGCTGTCCCTCATCACCAGCCCATGGCCTTACTTCTCAGTCACGGTGACAGAGAGTTGCCTCTGTGTGGCATCCAGCACAGCTTGGTACATTTTTGCCAGCAGTTCAACCACATGGTCACTAACCAACAGGATGTCCCCCTTGGAGTCTGCCGATGACATCTGAGGAAGAGCGAAGAAAGTAGTAGAGATTAATGTTTTTTCTCAGGAGCAGCCTGAGGGGCATCAAAGGCCCATAGTGAGAGGTTTAGTCCTAGTCTATCCCGTTCCCCTCGGCCCCAGGAGGCCCACTCTGGAGACACTGCCTACGTAGCTCAGATACCTCACTCAGGTGCAAGCTGAAGAGCCCATCCCGGAAGCTGGTGACTGACACCCCAGCCACATTCTCCAGCCCAACAACAATTTGGGCCTGGGACTTCTTGGCATCTGTGAGAATCACATGCCCCTTGGTGAGGAGGAGAATCCGGGCAGATGTCTAGGGAGGAGGTAGGAAATGGTGAGGACGGGCAATGCCACCCGCCCCATCCACTGGGCAAAGCATGCGTAGCCAGGCCCAGACCACTTCCCACTGTGGGTGCAGCGGCCTTTACCTTGCCATTGCCACGGTTGACCTTCTTCACAGTGTCCGCCATCAGAACAGGCCCTTCCTCCTTACCCTTCAGTTTCTGCAGCTTGGGGTTGCCCTGCAGCCCAACGTAATCACCACGGTATGGAATCGGGACACTGAGGACGTAAGAGAGGCATGCAGTGAGACCAAGTTCCGGCTCACCTCCCTGAGTGCCACGCCCCCTCGTCTACATATCTTGTTTCAGTGATCCATTGATATGTCCAGGACCAACACCATTGGCACCACAGTGTCCCCCCACTCCACGTGCTGGGTCAAAGCCTTTAAGGAGGGCCCGGCCAGGTGTCTCCAGTCCTCCCGGGCAACTCAAGCTTGAAAGGCCGCATCTGTAGGCTCTCACCTCTGAGGGTAGGAAGCCTTCTTGCTCTTGAACAGTTCGCTGGCACAGAGCTTTTCCCTCAGCATCTGCACCTGCCTCGGTGACAGCTGATCTCGGAACTTCTTGCACTGTGAGGAGGAGAAAGCTCAGATCGTGGAAGTGGAAGGCGGGGTTAGGGAGGGAAGTGAGCAAAGGGTGAGAGAACCCAAGGGGAGAAGGCTGGAGGGGACATGACAGAGGCCAAGGGAGCAGAGGGCTGGAGGGGAGATGACAGAGACCAGACACAGGAATAGGACCTGGAGGACTAGTGAGGGACACAGGAAATTGAGGGGTGTTTAGGAGAAAGGGGCACTAGCAAATACAAGCCCCATGAAATCACAGGCCGGCACTCAGGACCAGGCTGTGCCCACATGGGCATCCTAAGGACCAGGCTGAGCC